CCGGTGGACAGGTGGCTGTGCCCCAAGTCCCCGGAGGGGCCCACCCCCGCCACACACTCACAGACGTCGGCTCTCTCCCTCCCTCTCTCTAAAATCAATAAAAACACATCCTCAGGTGAGGATTAAAAAAAAAAAAAGTCTGCCCCAGGAGGAATGCTCCTTACAGCCTGGTGCTCACTGGTGGCACACACACCCTCACAGGCGACAATCACATTCGTAGGCTGATACACGCGTGGGTTGAATGGCACGCTCAACCGCTGACACACTCACACACACCTCAGTTCAGGCTCCACTCGAAATTTCAGGGCCTGCCCCTGCTGTGTAAAAGGCTGACACGCTGTCCCAGACAGAGCACAGTCCAGCAGCACTCATCCGAATGAGGTCTCGGGCTTACAGTGTGATGCACGTGTGCTAAGGCAGAGTCCCGAACTGGTTCCTCCATTTAGTGTTTATTAAGAGTTGACCAGGTACCAGGTCCTTTGCCATTTACATGAGACAGGCATGGGACAGACAACAGAAGGTCTGCCACAGGGGACTTACAGTTGAGGTCGGGAGGGAGGGGATAGAAAAGAATCGATTTTGACCTAAAGGAAATAAATAGTGATATGGTAGCAAATGCCATGTCGGAGGTGTTTTATTGCGGGTGGTACTGTTGCAGGTGGAAATGAGGTTTTTTCACGGAGTCACAACCAGAGGACCCCTCTGAGGGGATGGCCTTTAACTTAACCCTGAATGACATCAAGCAGCAGCCATGCAGTAATCCAGGCGGAGAAGAGCAGGTGGTGGGGAAGGGGGCTGGGCAGGAGGTGAGGTTGGAGGAGCTGCAGAGGCCAGACTTCTGTGGGGCAAGGTAGGCCTTGCCCAGCTGATCTGCCTGGGATTGAGAGGTTCCTGGGGTGCAGGACCCTGATAAAAATGGAACAGTTCCAGGCAAACCAGGAGGGCTGGCCACCCCGATAGGGGTTTGGGTTCTTTTTTCACCTTCCCTTCCCTTCCCTTCCCTTCCCTTCCCTTCCCTTCCCTTCCCTTCCCTTCCCTTCCCTTTCCCCTTCCTTCCTTTCTTCATTCTTTCTTCTCTTTCTCTTTCCTTCATTTTCTTTCCTCCCTCCCTCCCACTCTCCCCTTTCCTTCCTTTTAGCAGTTTTATTGAGACATAATTTGCGTGCTAGTACAGTTCAATAGCTATTAGCATACTCAGAGCTGTGCATCCATCATCCATCCATTCTAGAATACTCCCATTATCCCCAAGGTGTTTGGGTTTTCTCCGGAGGATAACGAGGACCAAGGGAAAGGAGGGAACCCCTGCAGCTTCTGGGGTGGGGGAAGATAAACTGCAGGGGCCAAGGGGGGAGCTGGGAGACCATGAGGGAGCTGGGATCACCCCAGCTTCACAGCCTGTCCCCTGGGGTGAGTCTCCAGGGCCTGCCACCCCACACTGTACTCAGTGAGGGTGACCAGGCTTTTCAGCTGTTATGGTCTGAGTGGGCTCCTGTCCCCCCCCTCTAAAAAAAGTACGTTGAGATCCTAACCCCCAGGACCTCAGAATATGACCTTATTTGGAAATAGGGTCATTGCAGATGAGTTAAAATGAGGTCATACTGCAGTAGGGTGGGTCCCTAATGCAATGTCCATGTCTTATGACAGCCATGTGAAGACAAGGACACATGCCATGTGATGACAGAGGCTGAGATTGGAGTGCTGTAGCTACAAGCCAGGGAACACCAAGGTCTGCCCGAAACCATCAGAGGCAGGGAGAGGCAAGAAAGGATCCTCCCCACAAGCTTCAGGAGCATGGTCTGCCAACATGATTTCACACTTCTGGCTCCAGAACTGTGTGACAATAAATGTCTGTTAATCTAAACTACCCAGTTTGTGACACATTAAGGCAGCCCTAGGAAACTAATACATCCGTGGTGGAGCAGGACATCACACTGGCATCAAGGACTTGAGGCCAAGGAGAAGGCATGACTGCGGATCGGGAAAGGCTGCCTGAGGAGGAGGCCCAAGCTTTGCACTTGGGCAGGGGTGGTGACAATGTGGCCATTTATTCCAGGAAGAAACTTTAGCTGGTTCCTAGAAAGGCATCTTGGGGAGGGATGGGGTGTGTGTAGGATCCTCCCAGCGACATCCTCTCCCAGGGCACTGAGAGAAAGCCATAGCTGCTGGGAGTGGCGTGGGAGTAGGAGCAGGGCTTTCCTACTTGCCTCGCTCCCCAGGAATCTAACCTTAGTCCCCAGGCAGGGCTGCGGGTACAAATCAAAGGAGACAGCTAAACTTGGCCTTGGTGTCGGGGAGATAGGAGATCTCAAACCTTGCCTTGGGACCTATGGGAGGCAACCAGACCCAGGGACAGTGAGTAGGGTAGAGGTCAGGAGACAGAGATGGAGCTAGGCTGGCTGGTGGTGCCTCAGGGGTCTCTAGGTCCAACTTCCCCTACCACCTGCAGATGGCTACTGCCTTCCAGTCGGGTGAGAACACCTGCACTGCTTCCCGCTGCTGGGCTGCAGACTCCACCTGAGCTGTCCTATTGGTCTGTTCTTTCCCAATAGGGCCCAGCCAGTCCCCATTACCCCTGTGGGGACACTGCTCCGGCCTGCTGCTGCATCCCACCTGAGAGTTCTTGGGGCACAGAAAGTCCTGCTAGATCAGCAAAGTCCCACCCCAGGTCACCTGGCTTCCTACTCCCACAGCAGCCCCAGTATTGCACAGCAAAAACAATTATCTGGATCATCTTTATGTGGCTTAAGCTTGGGTGGGAGCAGATGGGGTGTGAGCCGGGGATTGGGGCTGGGTATCCACTGCCCCCACACCCGTCTTTTAAAAAGCCTTCTCTGGCCCGGCTGGGCGTGGCTCAGTGGTTAAGCGTCGACCTAGGATCCAGGTGATCAGGGTTCGATTCCTGGTCAGGGCACATGCCCGGGTTGCGGGCTGCAGCCGATCAATGACTCTCTCATCATTGATGTTTCTATCTCTCTCTCTCCCTCTCCTTTCCTCTCTCTGAAATTAATAAAGATATATTAAAAAAAAGAAAAAGAAAAAGAAAAGCCTTCTCTGGTATGGGGCTGGGCCAGAGGCCAGCAGAAAGTAGACAGGGCCCAGGAAGCAGGAACAAGGATGGACCAGGAAGGGGTGGATGGGGGTTCAGTTCCCTGTGCCAAGGTAAGCAGGTCCCACCCCCACACACTCCCAACTCCTCAAGAGCAGTGAATGACAAGGCTAACTAGTTTGTAGGGCATCTAATTAGTGATCGAGTCTCTTGGGATCCCTGACCCAGTTTGCTGCCCATGGAGGTGCTGGTGGGTATGAGGGTCCAAGTGCCTGACACAGCCCCAGGGCAGAGGTCAGTGCTCTCAGTGATGGTCCCGGTGAAGGGAGGGGGGGGG